ATACAGGATTTGTAATTTGTTGTTATTGTTACTCGACACACCTCTGTTTAACTCGCAGTAAGTAGGAATCTGGTTGTTAGTCGATTGGCGGATCGGTAATAATCCCTCAAAAAAAAGGTCGCTCAATCCACAACTGTTTGTGAATCACTACTGTGTGCAATTGGCTGCCAAGTTTCTCCCATAAAATACTCGCAATATATTCTGTGAAGTGGTTTAAGACGTCTCAATGACATAATAAGATGCAAAATCAAATGCAAAGATTATTATAACCCTCAAACAGACAACTACCCAGATCACCAGGTTCGGGTGATTGACAATAAGCTTCTGATGCTGAGGTTCGTGGTCTTTACTTTTAAGTCCAATTTTGTTCAACAAAATTTTGGACAACAACAAATTACCTTTGTATAGCGCCTTTCGCGTCAGGAGGACCTCCCAAGGCGCTGGACAGTCAAGGATCCACATCCGAGCTGGTGGTTGGGATCACGAGTGGTGGAGGGAAGGAGTAGGAGGATGACTAAAGACACGGTCGAAGAGGAGAGTCTTGATATGGGTCTTAAAAGAGGCAAGGGAAAGGGCGAGGTGGAGGAACTGTGGGATGGAGTTCCAGAGGGCGGGGGCAGGGAGGCTGAAGGCAGAAGCCAGTTTCCTCAGTTATTTTCAGGGGCAGTGGTGTGGGGTGGCAGAGCGTGGCTGAGATCAATACTGCAGCATAGACTCGACAAAAAACACTAACGTCGTTTAAAAAAAGATCAAATTCTCAAAATTCTCCCTGTACTTCAGAATTTGATACAGTCAGCTTGAAACACTGAAACAAAGCAAAATGACCACACAAGATTTAGATTTATTTGCATAGAAAGGTCGTTCCGCTCAGTGGTCTGACTCTGGCAAGGTGACTACCATTTCAGATCTTCGAGGCAACAGTTCTTGCAACAGCTGTCAGCCTGGCTCAGGTGGCAGCACTCTCGCCTCTGAGTCGGAAGGTTGTGGGTTCAAGTCCCTCGACCTGATAGGGCACCATATCCAATACAAGGATTATTACTAGCGTCATCATCGTTATATACAGTTATTGGAGGTTTTGTGTCAACAGGACCCGGGGGGGGAGGGGGAGAATGTGCCAAACTAAGTTTACATTGAATTTTCACAGCAGAGCTAAGAGATTCAGCGCAGTGGTGCTGGCCAGAATCAATCCCAAGCACAGAGAAAGCTGACAATTCATGTCACTTTTCTGCATTGCTGCACTGGGGGGTGGGGGGTGTGGGGGTGACTGCATTCACTCAGAATGCCATTAAGAGGGAGTGTTGCATACTTGTGCCTTTTTAATCTTTGGATCAGAATGCAAAGTGGTGTTGGATATCGAAGCACAAAAGCCTGGTCAGGCATGTTCCATTGTAGAAATAGGTTCACACACTTGAATTGCCGAGTAGGACTTACAGAAGCACCTCAAAGTGGGCAGAGATCTGCAATATCTACTATTAAAGATGTTAATGATGAATTCGGTAGAATATACTGTATAAATTGACTATATTTTGTGGCTGAAATGCGACAGCCACACAGTAGTGTCCCACAAACAGTCGTAGATTGAGTGACCAAATGTATTTAATTCATTTTTTTTTGGAGTGATTATTAACCCCAAAGACACTTGGAGTAAGGAAACTTGTCTAAGGTTTTGCCCCAGAATCGAACCAGTGTCCTTTCACTGCTCTAACTAATATGCTACAGGACTCAATAGATAGACATCAGAGCTGGTAGTGTGGCTTAAACAGATCATGTGGAGTCCTGTAGCTCAGTGGTTAGAGCACTCGCTTTGCAAGCGAGAGACTTGAGTTCAATTCCAGGCAGAGGGCGAAACCTTGGGCAAGTTTCCTTACTCCACACAGAGCCTAATAATAATCCCTCCAAAACCAAAAACAATAATAAATTGGTCATTTTCAATCTACGACTGTTTGTGGGACATTGCTGTGCGCAATTGGCTGCCGCGTTCGCCCACAAAAAATATACAGTCAATTCACTTTACAGTATGTTCTGTGAAGCGTTTTGGGACGTCCTCCCGACGTGAAAAGCGCTATATCAAATGCAAGTATTATTATTATTATTATTATCATGGTTTGGGTAGTGCAGTGTAATCAGTGAGGCATTGCTATGCTACAGACTGAAGTAACTCTCCACGCAGTTAATTTCAGCCAAGCTGCAATGATAAGCAGGAGCTGAGAGAGGCAGGAATGGGAAATCAGAAACAGGAATGTGCTTGTGCACCTGCTACCAGCCCAAAGCCTGGTAACTCCTGCTTAGGGTCATTGTTAGACTGGAAGAGGTTGGAAAAGGGGATAGTTCTGCTATAGACCCACAATCTCTCACCCACCCCCCCAAGCTTAGCCAGGCAAGCAGCTAAGACCACAGTCACAGCTACACAAGCTTGTGTCATTCTCAAAAAACAGTTCCCGCTGAATAAATTATCTTCCTTCACAAAGATCAGCGGTAAGGAATTTCTCAACCTCTGAGGGCCCTTTTGATCTTGCTTGAGCGGGAGATAAAGAACTTAATTCCACAACCATGAGGCACTTCAGCTCTACCACGCTGCACAGTCATCGAATCATAGGATTATACAGCACAGAAGGAGGCCATTCGGCCCATCGTGTCTGCACCAATTCTTTGAAAAGAGCTATCCAATTCAATCCCACTCCCCCGCGCTCTCCCCATAGTCCTGCACACTTGTCCTCCCCAAATAATTACCTAGTTTCCTCTTAAAAGCTGTTATCGAATCGGCTTCCACCACCCTTTCAGGCAATGCATTCCAGATCCGAACAACTTGTGCGTAAAAAAATGTCTCCTCAACTCCCCTCTGTTTCTTTTAACAACTATTTTAAATTGTTGCCCTCAGGCTACTGACCCACCTGCCAGTGGAAATAGTCTCCCTTTGTTCGCCCTATCGAATCCCCTCGTAATTTTGAAAATCCCTCATAATTTTGAAATTATGTACACAATCTTGCGCGACTGTGTACAAAACTGAGTGCAAGCTCGCTCTCACCCCCTTAGCTGAACATAAACAAGGCTGCAAGAGTCTGTCTAAGCGGGTCTAAAGGTAGGTTGCAATAAAACACAGGCTGGAGCCAGGCACAGATGTGAGGTAAAATTCCCAACTTCCAGCGTTTTATTTTCCAAGTACAATGAGCTGCAGAGAAGAAAATGTGCAGTGGCATCTCCTGGAAAGGTACAAGTGTGAGGCCTGCAATGGGCACAACACACAGTCACTACACTTTACGGAAAAACAAACCCTGTGAAGCACTTTGAAGACATCCTCCCAAAGTGAAACACGCCACATCAAGTGTAAGGATGATCACAGCAGCGTTCCAGTCAGAAAGCCATCTTAAAAGCACTTCATGGGATTTACTAAAATGTGCAGTGACTGTGTTATTTGTAGCAATATCCACTCATATTTACTCCCCCACTCGTTTTGGACTCACCAGTAAGTGGAAACAGCCCATCAATGGCCGCCTTGTCCTAATCGCAAACATCTCAATCAGATCCGGGACTCTACCCCGCGTGAACAGCGCTATATAAATGCAAGTTGTTGTTGTCCTCTCTCAGGAGGGGTACAATTTGCTCCCGCAAACACAGGGCCTGCAGACCCAGCCTTTAAAGCAAGTTTATAACAATGCCTCCTTGAGCTGTGAATCCCATGGATTGGAATAAAAGAAACTTAAACGACTGGTAAACAAATGGCACAGAGCAACCCGACTCCTGCTTCAGATGCGATTTATAAATGTTCTGACAGGTTATACCACATCCCCAACTCATAACAGGACCTTCACATAGGATGTCAACCGGACCAGGTAAGAGTAAGATTTTTTTTGGTAGGGCGAATAGAAAAAACGAGATGACAGAAAGAAGTCATTCTCGATTCAAAATGAAACACTCTACGCTTATCGCAAATTAAGCCATCAAATTAAACTCACCCCACACAACATGCGTGAACTGTGGATGACGTGAAACTCGGGTTTAAAATCCCACCCGCCCCTTTCATTCATTCATCCTATAAACGTGTTTAAAAAAAAAACCTCCTGTCCTTACCCATCCCCACCCGCGCCCCCCCCCCCCAGAGATATGAACCCAGCTCCTCAAGGTTCACCTGCAGTCTCAAGATCACACTGCGCGCCAGGCAGAGCGCACCAGCGAGTGTGATCCGGCTTCAAGCATTCGGGCAGAATCCAATCCTTTCATATTGCTGCCAGAGTGTGTTCAGGCAGAAGCGGAGAAAGAGATGGGGAGGGAATGAGCTGAGAGGTTTTTTTTTAAAAAAAAACTCCTGATAACTCATCACCGGCTTAACTTGTCACTGCCACTTAAGTCGCCAGTATCCCAGACGCCCTTATTGAACCTTAGCTTTAATACCACGAGCCCAACTCGCCACTCCTGATAACTCGCCGCCGAGCCCCTGCGCCTCGGGAGGGGGGAGGGGGAGGGGAGGGGGGGGGGGGGGGCTGACGAGTTATGCGGAGTTGAACACGAACCCGGACCGTCGCTTTTATATGAAAAAAAAACAACAACACCCCCATACATTGAGGATAAAGCTTCGCGGGACTGACTACCTGTTGCTCATGTTCCGCGATCCTATGATGGTGGTGTTTTTTTGGGGCTAATCATTAAAACATTTGGCAACAATGTAACCGCAAAGAGTTTCCTTTACAGCTGATCGCTGTTACACGACCGACTGCCCACAGAGAGACGTGTGCGTTGTGTGTCTCTCTCTCTCTACCCCCATGAGTATTAAATGCAATGAATAAATATATATATATCTATTACACACACACACACACAGTAATGCAGGTGGATCTGGGCACAGAACTGCAGTAACTTCTTCCTTGAGTTTTGCTTTGGTTGCAATCCACCTGCACTGAAATGAAACTTAAAAATAAACAACAAAGAAGAGAGAGAGACAGAGAGACAGACAGACAGACAGACAGAGACAGACAGACAGGGGGAGCATTGCAACACGCACTCACTCGATAAAGTAACTCGCTCCCTCGTCGCTGAATCCTTCCTCCCAGCCGCGAGGTAGATCTGTAAAAGATTCAATACATTTGGGAGTGGTTTTTTTTTGGTGGTGGGGGGGGGTTGCAAAAAAAAAAATCTTGAAAGCTTTGTAAATCTCCCCCCACAAACTCCCAAACTTTTATCTCGCAGCTCTGACTCGTGAACTCGCAACTGACTGACTAACTAACTAACTAACTAACTAACTCGTGTCCAAACCACAAACCAACTTCACTTGTAAAAGTTTCACAAGAAAACCTTTTTACCTGTTCGTGTTATGTGTCCAGAATTGACAGCCACACCAGTCCGGGGATGTAACCAGCTGGTGTTTTGTGTTTCATCGCTGTTGGGGAGAGAGAGAGAAAGAAAAAATATCTTAGATGCAATCTGCACACATAGATTATATATGTTGTAATTAAAGAAAATCTTGCAAAGCAACAATTGAGAGGGAGGAAAAAAAAAGCTGCAGAGGGTCAGAGAGAGAGAGAGAGAGTGAGTGAGTGAAATAGAGAGAGAGTATTAAAAAAAAGTCCTAATTGTGGAACTTACTCAATGAAATAAACACGACCATCCCTGCAAACACCGTAAGACCATTGATCAGGTAGTGTCTCCCTCCTCAAGTCAGCCGCCATGATCCAGGCATGAATTTCTCTCCCTCTCCCACTTACACACTCACTCTCTCCCTCCCACACACTCACACACAATGGGATCCCGCATCATCAGCTCTCCATCAAAGGGACGCGCTCTGACATTAAGGGAGCACAGCCAGGTTTGTGTCCGCCGACAGAAAATCAACAACAAAGGTTGACGCCCCCTATAAGGGAGGAGGAACCGGGCTCTGATTGACACGTCAGCCCCCAGGAGACGGAGGGAGGTGGAGAAATGTCCTGATAACCAGGCAGCTATCTCCTGGCTATTTCACATGCTTGTTTCCGTATTTAGTATTCCATAGCTATACTGCACTGTACTGCTCAAACTCTGCTCAACAGATGGCATCTCTCTTGTCATGAGATCACCTTACAGGTTCCTTCATCAACCTGCGTGTGCAGCACAGTGTATAACCCAGTCATAGTTGCATTTGCTGGTAACTGGCTGGTTTGTGCTTGTTTGCGTGTGGGTGTTGGGTGTGATTGGATCAAAACTTTGCAAGTACTGTAATAATTCTTAGAAATCGTGCCCTCCTGTTGGGCGAGTGTGTCTCTGTCACAATGCAGAAAGCCTGCAGAAAGGAAAGAAGCAAATCTCGTAGTCCTGTAACGTATTGATTAGTGTGCTCGCCTCACAAGAGAGAAGACCTAGATTCAATTCCCAGGCAGGGAAAAACCTTAGGCAAGTTTCCTTACTCCACCTGCTTCTATCTAGTAGGAATGCAGTTGTTAGTCGATTGGAGGATCGCTTTTCCAGGGGTACTAATTCCTTTAAAAAAATTGGTTGCTCAATCCATGACTGTTTGTGGGACACTGCTGTCCACAATTGGCTGCCGGGTTTCGCTCACAAAATATACAGTCAATCCACTTTACAGTATATTCTGTGAAGCGCTTTGACACATCTCGAAGACATGATAAGACCTTATATCAAATGCAAGGATTATTATTTATTACTATATCAGTAAAAACTCAATCTGAATGGCAACATGAAGTTTGGTGAAATTGATAAACAAAGCCATAATTTCAGGGTACCCTGATCACATCTGAGTTGTTATTATTAGATACAAAGATCTCAATGTTCGTTCCTCCATTCCCACTTCCCTGAGACGCTACCCTGTGTGAGGGGTGCTATATAAATGCAAGTTGTTGTATTTATTGATGAGGCTCCACAGCTGCTGGTAATTCTCAGCTCTCTGGGTAACATTATTAACAATAATAACAATAACTATTGCATTTATACAGAGCCCTTCATGTAGGATAGCGTCTCAGAGCACTTCAGTCAGGAGCTTATAGAGTGAAATTGAATTACCACAGGCTGTGCTGATGAAAACGAACAGCTCCATATAAAGATTAGATAACAACAAGCCAAAGTGGTGTGTGAGGTTCTGCCAGTCCATTGTCCATATTTCTTGGAATTATTTTGTACTCTATTTAAAGTGAACTCAGGGATGGGATTTTTGCATTGACATTTGCGAATGTTGTTCCAGTATTCACATCAGAAGCCTCGGGGAACAGGACGCTTAGGAAACTAACTCCTCCCCAACTCCAATGACTCCATGGTTTTCATTTCACCTTCTGTCGGATCAACAGCATCGATGCACAGCTCCAGTGGACGTCCTGGTTTGGTCAAGTGTAGTAAATGCATGGTTCATTCTAGTGTCATCTGAATCATGATTGTCCACCACCCCCTTTCCCACAACCTTCCCATCAAAAAAAGTTTTTTTTAATATTCTGAACATATCAATCACCTAAAGTGACCTATTCTGTGGAAATAATTGTGAAAATAATAATCGTTGATGTAAAACCTTATTACATAGTTGAGACATCTCAAAGTTCTTCATAGGATATACTGTGAAGTGGATTGACTATTTTGTGAGTAAATGTGGCAGCTAATTGCACACAGCAGTGTCCCACAAACAGCCAGAGTGAGAGACCAATTTTACTTGGAATTTATTTGGGGGACCTCAGGAGAAACTCTCTTCTCTTTTTTAATAGTACCTTTGGATCATCAATATCCACCTGAACAGGCAGACGGGACCTCGGTTTAATGTCTCATCCAAAGGACGGCACCTCTGACAATGCAATACGCCACCAACACTGCATTGGAGTGTCATCCTAGATCATTTGATTCCAAATCCTGACTGAGGGTTTGAACGCGAAACCTTTTGACTCAGGGGCAAGAGTGCTACGACTGTGCCAGGCTGACACACAAATGACGAGTGTATGTTCACCCTTAATTGTTGATGTTCATGCTTAATAACATAGTTGGGTGTGTTGGAATTTTTGTGGGATCTCTTATTAAGATATCTTCATTGTCCGTACTTACACATGGGAAACAGTGACTTGAAAGTGGCATCAGAGGGCAGCTGACATCTATAGAATTATACCGAGGAGCTTTACCGTGGGCTTCAGGAAAGTAAATTTAGCTGTGGAAGAGTTACACGCATCGGCAAATATAGATTTTCAAGACTTGGTGATTCTTACATTGGAAAGCCAGTTCTCTAACTTTGAAACATCTGAAAGCATGTCACAGGGGATTGCTGTGTTTGTGATTGTATTTATAGGTGAACACGGACCGCACACAAGAAGAGATTTCTCTTTTCGCATAGTGCCAGTACCATTAACATCAACTGAACAGACAGCCAGCATCTACCATTTGGCATCTCATCTGAAGGACAGCACCTCTGACAATACAGCTCTCCAGGAGCATTGAATTGGATCATCACCCTGGACTGTGCGCTCAGAGTTCTGACTAACGGCTTGAACCCACAACTTTCTGACCCAGAGGCGAAAGAGCTGTCAACTGAGCCAGGCTGACGTTTGTAATTTGGAATGCAAAAGCTTACTACAGGGAGATGCAATGGCTGTACACAGCTAAGTCCAAGCCAATACAGCATGCTAATTAGTGACACAGTGCAACAAAATCCACCCCCCCCACCACCCCCGTGAGCACAGAGTGAAAACAACCATCTCACACAGACAGGAGCTGCACAATGGAAGCCCACAAACAATTGCTAAAAGCTCACATTCCAGACTTTGCTTCCGGTATCCACACTCAGCCATTATTTCACAAAGAAAATCAGAGACATCAGCCACCTTTCTTTGCACCCTCATTATATATATATTTCCCTGTTGCCGACTGCTTTCAAGCTCGGCTGAAACTGAAAGTGAAACTCACAAGTGAAACGTTTCATTACTCGCATGGAATTGTATTGCGACGGACGGCATGACTCGACAAACCGAGAACCCATCGGTCAAGCCACAGTGCATTAGTGTGAGTCTTAGGTTCACTTGCGGTCACCCTGCTTATCAATATGGAGGTTCAGGGAGGCTGAGGATTGTGGATTGATTGAAATGGGTGAGACTTGACAAGATAACTTTATACAAGCCTCTCGAACTGATCACCCTTCAAGGACTCTTGTTGAGGTTCCTGATGCTCTTGATAATTTTGCTCACAAAATACACAGTATATCCACTTCATGGTATATTCTGCGAAGCACTTTGAGAAGTCTAAATGTAATGCCGTCATTGAAGTTAACAGCACAGGCGATGAATCAAACCCATGACCTGGTCTGTACCTCCTGGGCTATTCAACTGACTAAGCAATGCGACACAACTTCTAAAAACTTTTCCAGATGGACACACTGCGATCAATGGAGGACAGAAAGGACCGATTACATTCGGTAGCCCATTCCCTCTTCGGCTATCTCTTCCTTATTTGGTCCGAGATCAATGGATGACTCAGGGGCACACAACAGTGATGTGAGCAAAACAGAGGAGCAGATCATGCTTGTGAGACATCACAGATCATTTAGCTAGACATTAAAACAGCACCTTGCATTTGATACAGTACCTTACCATGTCACACTTTCAAGATGGAGATAGATAAATATTTGTTAGGTCAGGGTATTAAGGGATATGGGGCAAGGGAGGGTAACTGGACTTGAGGTATAGATCAGTCATGATCTTATACAATGGCGGAACAGGCTCGAGGGGCTGCATAGCCTACTCCTATTTCTATGTATCTACGTCAATAGTCTTAACATGCTTCATGCAGCGAGTGACTTTGAAGTGTAGTGACTGTTGTGAACTGGCATCATCCTACACAAGTGGGATAAAACCAACAGAACCAGCAATGTTCATGGGACATTGCTGTATGCAAATTGGCTGCCACATTGGCCCACAGATGCAGTCGCGACACGTTACAGTAAATCCTGCCAAGCAATTTGAGACGTTTTGATTATTATGAGAACGGAACCCGATTTAAACATTTTCACCTGAAGGAGAGCAGCTCAGACACTGTGGCGCTCACTCAACAGTGCATGGGACTGTTAGCCTGGATTAGGAGCTCAAGCCCTGCTCTGGGCTAACCTCCTTTTTCAAACTCAACACAATCACCCTCTTCCCCGATGACAGCCAGAAATCCTAAACGCACAGGACAGGGTGGACTGCCCACATCCCACTGCTCTGTGGTTACACTGCAGCCAAGTTGCTGGCACGCATCACAAGACCTAGTTGCTCCCTGGCGCAGAAGGATCCTGGAATCAAAGAGGTTTTCTTTTTAAATAGTGGAAAATAATTCAGATTTATGCAAAACCATTCAGTTGCAAGCGCTGAGTAAACAGTCCCTTTCTTTCAGGACTCCGCATTGAGCCACAAGATGGATTGATCGGCCACTGCATTATATACCCCGGAGGAGGTTATTTGCATCTTATGGTGATAATCTGCTGCTTCGAACATTCCAACACATTCCGAGGATGCAGCTTCCAATAAAGAAGCAGGAACGAGGCTAGAATCAATAAAACTAAACATGGGCAGATCTGAATTTTCCATTTATGAGTTTATTCCTTTATCCCCCTCTTATTATCTTTTTCGCCTCCTGTTTGGGGTGGGGGGTGGGGGTGCAATTCTGGTGACTCTGATTTCTGCCTTGTCCAAGCCCCAGCTCAAGCACTCAGATGAAACCTGCCTGTTAATAAGAGAATTTTACCACTCATCAAATCAGGCCCGAGGGAGCACAAGTTTATCAAGATAAGAAGAATCCTTGCATTTGATACAGCATCTTATTACATGGATGAGACACCACAAAACATTTCATAAGATTTTATTGTGACGGTGTTTTGTAAGCAAATCAATTTGTGCACAATGTTTTCCCACAAACTGACATGAAGGGAGTGACTCATTTTACCTTGCAGGCTGTTGGCCAGGACACTGTGAGTAACTCCCTTCTCTTTTTAAATAGTGCCGTGGGATCTTTAACGTCACCTGAACAGGTACAGACAGGATGTCTGTTTAACATCTCAACCGTAGTTACCTCTGGTTAGGTTTTTAAGCTTGGAATGGATTGCCCCTGACATTTGTAAAATGTGAACTACTGTATTTAGAGTTCCACTTTTAATATTCACATGTGTGCTTCTTGATGTAAAAGTATCAGTGAGTTAAAGGGGAAGAAAAGTTTCTCTTTGGGAGGATGTGGAGGAGAAAAGTAGCACTTTCTGCTGAGCATTCATATTGTATGGGGAATGAGAACAAAAATTGGAATTATACTGAATTGTGAGGTGAGAATCTCAAAGAGCAAAACTCACACAGCAACTCCCTGTGCCATGCATATCTGCAAGCACGCTGCTCACTACTGCATTGGAGCGTCACCCGATGGCTTGGTACAGAATTGCATGACATTGTCTCAAGGCATTTTGTTTACAGCGAAATTTGTTCTTTTTTTTAAAAAAAAGCCAGGGACAGGGTGCGGGAACGAGAATTTAAATGCAAAACAATTACACAATTTTTGTCACAAATGCAAAAAAAGCTACCTACTTGTTAGGAGAGATCCTTGTAGGAATGGTTAAACAGCCTGCTTGAACATTTGACTTTTGAAATTCGGAAATGTGAGATGGGAAAGACGCTGGAAAAAACAGGACGGCTCTCAACTGATGTACATAACATCTCCATTGAAACAACTAGGATCAGTGTCTTTTTTTATTCACAGATTCCAGTCTGCAGCTGACAGCCGCTGAATTATTCAGGGCCAGCAGATACTGTTCAATCACTTGAGGTAGCAGCAAGAACAAAAAGCTAATTCATTTCACCTGCCTCCTACTGCCATTCCCTACCTAGACACTCAACAACCACAACAACAAATTACATTTGTATAGCACCCTTTACCTCAGGGTGGATGTCCCAAGGTGTTCGACACTTAGAGGTTTGGACCCGAGCAGGAGGAACGGAGGGTAGGGATAGGAGGGTGACCTAAGGTGTGGTTGAAGAGGGTTTTGAAACAGGCCTTGATGGGAGCAAGGGAGGGAGCAAGGCGAAGGGACTATGGGATGAAGTTCCAAAGGGAGGGGGGCAAAGAGGCTTAAGACCCAACCACCAATGGTGGTCAAAAAAATCAGTAGCTGGAACTAGGACCAATTTCCCATTCCCTAAACCCTCTGAGACAAACTGCAGTCCCACCTGAGAGCAGGGTAACTCAGCAAGGGGCAGGATTTGAACAGGCAACCTTCTGGTTTATATAGTGCACTGAGCAATGCCTGTGACCATCAGGGTAGCTGATGTGAATGGGATGCACAACCTCTATCTTTTCGCTTAAAAAGTAGTCTTTATTATTCACACTTACACTAAACAATCTGTCTCTACATCTACATGTCTCACAATTCATCACCTATGGTAACACACTTCCCTAATATAGTGGAGGTCCTAACTATGAACAACCCTCCGTAAATAATAAGCCATGCATTTTATTCAGCGTTCATAATGTCAAAAGATCTCAAACCCTTCGCATGTAATTGTGTAAAGTTCGCTGTATGTTGCGTGAAGGGTACGATATGAATGAAGGTTGATGTACTGGCAGTTCCCGGTAAGACTTCAGCATGGAAAAATAAAGGATGCTAAGAAGGATACCATCTACCAAGTTTGTCTAAAAGCATCTTTTATGAAGAATTACATTCACAGTGTGCTTTTTTGTTAACAAGAAAATATATAAGGCTCCAATTTGGCCAAATCCACATACCTGCCATCTTTAACATTTACAAATGTACACATAACCCAAATGGCAAAAAGTGACCAAGAAAATATATTTCACAAAAATATACATATATCAAATCATTTTCATTAAATAATACAAAAATAATTGACATTGTTTGTATTGGTGTAACAAAGATTACATTTCAATTGGAGGACAAGAATGTCCTATTATTTCAATCAGGGGAATTAAAGGTGAGATTAACCAGTCTATGGGTGGTTTTGGAAAGGAACCTCTACAGTTGATATTTGTGGAAAAGGTCAAGTTTCTCACCTCGACAATCATGAAGCTGCCCCCCACCCCCCACCCACCCCTTACCTTCACCATCTTTCCATGCATAGGAAATAGATGCCCTCCCACCTCTCGGGTCCCGGCACCTGATTGTTCAGTGCTTTGGGACGGCCTTCCAACATGAAAGGCGCTCTATAAATGTAATTTTGTTGTTGTTGTAGGTGGCATCCAGATATGCAATTAAGTCTAGTTTGGATACTCTAAAGCATGGTGATGGGTTTCCTCATCTGGCAGGTACCCAGCTGATCCAATAAAAATAAATCTTCTGAAGACCTATTCACTCTCTGCTATTCTGACTCTTATCTATTGCTTGCCATTCCCTTCCTCCCTCCCATCAACTTGATGGAGTCTTGAAACCTCAAAGGCTTGAAGACAAATCCTCATCCACTATGCTCCCACTCTCTGGAACCCTCTCCCAAAATCTCTGCCTTGCACCTCCTCTTCCTTACTCCTACACTCCCTGCTCAGGGATACCCCCCACCCCCCTCACCCCCATAATCTTGAGTCATTCATCCTCGTTTTGTTGAGAAAAATATTTCCATTCTCTTACAGTTCACTACTAGAGCAACTGAAGAATTTTACACTCTCTCCTCTGGTTTGTTCTCAATGACAAGTGCTGCTCACTTACAATGTGTAAACCTGAATAAGAAGCTAGCCATTTGGAGCAAGTGCTGGTCAGGTACATTAAAGCCCAGTTACCCAGAAATGCAAACCTCACTACAACACACTGTATAGTCCCAGCCATTTATGTGTAAAAGAAACCTTCAGACCAAAAAGTACATGGTTTCACATAAGTGCAGAGTAGGCTTTTCGGGCTGAGTAGCTGGGGGAATGTATTAGTGTGCGCATTCCACAGTGCTTGGACAACCGTGGATCTTTGCCCACATCTTCTCTCGGTGGTTTGCATTCAGACAATAGCTGATGGCCCTCTCTGTTTCCTGAATCCGCTGCTGAAACCGCAGCCGGTCACGGGCCATCTCCTCCCAGGGGCCTCGGCGAGCGGCCCACAGTGCAAAAGGCCACGTCAACATCTTGTGCACCTCGACCACAGGAGAAAACCTCACCTAAAACAAACAACAAGGTTGATAAAAACACAAGGAATTGAATGAAGGACGCAGTTAATGCACAAGTAAATTTCAGAAACCAAATGTGTTTGGAGAGCATTAACAGACACATTCTTATCTTGAATTTATTTTTTAAAACCTTGCTAAATCTAACCCACACCTGACCTGGGATTGCTGGATACCTGCAGTGTAGAGAGTACAGGTTTTCTCTGTATCTAACCCATGCTGTAATCTGACCTGACAGTGCTCAATGGCACAGTGCAGAGGGAACTTTACCTGGGTATGTTGGATGGAACAACTTTGGGGAAATAGAGATCTTTTAATAAGTCGCTGGAATCTGGTTCGAGTCCCAGGTGACTCCCTGGCTTCAGGTAATATTGCTTTACTTAGCAATTGGCAGCTTGCAGAAAATAAATCCTGTTCTGCTAATATTTGAGGGCAGCCATTGTGTTGTTGTCAACCACAGCCTCTGCAGATCAGACATAACTTGGTAACCACCTCAGTCAGAGCTCAGTCAAACATAGAAAACAGTGAATTTGTACTTTATTCCTCCTTTAATTTTCTTCCATTTGTTCCTCCAAATGATAAATGATGCCGTGCTGAGACAACAACAACGTGCGTTTATACAGCGCTCTCCATCCGGGGCAGCATTGTATCAACAACAACAAGATTACATTTGCATAGCACCTTTCACATTGGGACGACGCCCCAAGGCTCAAGATACATCAAGCCCCTCAAATGCCTGAACAACAACAACAACAACAAGATTCCATTTATAAAGCGCCTTTCACGTCAGGAGGACGTCCCAAGGCGCTGCACAGTTGGGTCAGGACCCGAGCAGGGGGAAATAGTCAGGGTGAGGGGAGGGAAGGGAGGGAGGAGGGGGGAAAATGGTCAGGGTGAGGGGAGGGAAGGGAGGGAGCGAGGAGAGGGAAGAGAGTCGAGAGGGGAGCTGAAGGCTCGGTCAAAGAGAAAGGTTTTGAGACCGGCCTTGAAGGAGGAAAGGGAGGAGGCGGCGAAGGCACTGGGGGATGGAGTTCCAGAGCCTGGGGCCTGAGAGACTGAAGGCCCGACCACCGATGGTAGGGCGGTTGGGGCGGGGGACATGGAGCAGACCGGAGCCGGAGGAACGGAGGGTACGGGCAGGTAGGTAGGGGGATAGTAGGTCAGAGAGGTAGGAGGGAGCAAGGCCGTGGATGGCCTTATAGGTGAGGATGAGGATCTTGAAATCAATCCTCTGGGAGATGGGGAGCCAGTGGAGGCGAGCGAGGGTGGGAGTGATGTGGTCACGAAGCCTGGTGCGGGACAGTACACGAGCTGCAGAGTTCTGAATGACCTGCAGCTTGTGGAGGGAGGTGGCGGGAAGGCCTCCTCCTTCAAGGCCTCATCTTCTCATGTGTCAGAAAGCGTTGTGTTGTTGGAGGAAAGGGCCAAATTACCGTCTACTACAATATGATCTTCACCTGATGTCCACATTAGCAAAGCCCAACAAGAAAAATCCCTGGGTAGCATTCTGACCCCGAAATTCATCTGTTCGAAGATATATTGTGCAGGATTTTTGGAAAATGTTTGAATTCAGTGTGAATTTAGAAGCTGGTTCCAAATTCATACTGAATTAAAAAATTCGCCCCAATTTTGCACAACGATAAATTTGAAGTGATACAGGCAAGGACTAGGAGAAATGCCCGAATCCATATCATCGTTTTAGGGTCTCTAACAAATGATGGCCACCTGGGCAAGTTACCAGAGGACACTAGGAGCACTTGGAGCCTCATTGTTTTGCCCACAAAATAAACAGACAATTCACTTTACAATATAATTCTGTGAAGCGCTTTGAGATGTCTCGAAGATGTGATAAGGCACTATATCGAATGCAAGGATTATTATAATCTCTATCAGACAAGAAGAGTGAAACACAGAGAAAAGGAAATTTAAGGGGAGTTCAGCTGGTTGGGGAGGAAAAGAACATGTGGAGTGAGACCAGGGATCAAAGTCATTTCCTTCAGGAAAAGCAGAGGAAAGTTTAACAGAAAACATACCTTTTTGACAGTTGCTTTCTCCTTTTCCTTCTTCTTATTCTCCTCTTCCTCGGGTTTTGCAGATATTCCCGGCTTCTTCCAAGTGCAAAATGAAACATTTTCTTCCGTGCTGGGCTGGCAGTAGTGCCTGAGACACCTATGGGGCAACAATGATGGTTTCTTGTATGTTTCTAACAGGACTTTGGGAACAATCTTTCTGCCTTTCTTACACTGTTCGAGAGACCACTCCTTACAACCTGGACGACCCTCGGTCATAGTGGGGTTGCTTTTCAGGCAAGCTCTGAAGTTCAATGGATTGTAAGGGTCGGTGCTGAGGAAGGATTCCCAGAGCTTGTCATCTATTCTCTCATCAAATTCCTCGTCGCTCTCATCGCTGAACGAATCGTCGCTGTCAGAAGAGTCGGAGTCTTCCTCAGTATCTCCCCAAGTCACATCGCTGTAGTCATCCTCTTCTTCTGTCCCATCTTCACTCCACTCCGCGAGATGCATGGTGTTTTCCAAACGCACAGGATGATCACTGGTTATACATTTGCTGTCAGCATTGCAATCGCTTTCATCCCCCGAAGGCTCCTCGCAGACCCTCAGTCTACCAGAGTGATACTGATGCGAATGTTGCTCATGATTCGACTGCCGGTTAAACTTTGATGGAATCAAAGATTTTGAGGTCTCCTCTCTGTGGTTCAAGCAGCTTTTGTGCATGTTGCACTGTGGATCGATTGGACCTGTTTGCCGGGGGCAGTCGAACCTGAGGCTCACATCCTCCTCGCTGTCAGGCCAGTTGGAAAAAATTAAGAAGTCTTTGTTATTATTCTCGAGGGTTTCAGTTTCCTCTGCACTAGATGCACTGTCCTCTGCACTGGATACAGTGGCCTCTGCATGCTTCAGGTGCATTATTCTGGATAACTGAAGAACTGGAAAGGATCAAATGCAAGTTAGGGCCACAGTGGATTTAGTCAGACCAGCAAACTTCGGCTAATGACGTGCCCCCCCCCCCCCCTTATTTCCCTTCAGCTTCTTAAAGGCGATTGCAACAATTTACATTTAAATTGCGTCTTTCACATCACAAGGACGTCCCAAAGCACTTTCTTTACACAGCTCAACCTGCGCACCCAAGCTGGGTCTGGGGAACGAAAGGGTAACCAAAACCCCAGGCGAAAAGATAGACAGGCTTTAAAGGTGGAGACAGAGGGGGGAAAAATGGAGGGACTCAGGGATGGAGATCTGGAAAGGTGGTGGGAGGGTGGTGGGGGCAAGAGATCAGCATCGCTGAAAGGAGGGCATCAGTTCCCCATTGCTAGCCCGGTGACCCTGGTTAAAAGTGCATGTGTGCAGGTGGCAATGCCTTCCACCTTCCAAAGCCTGCCAGTGCTCACTGTCTGCGCCCTCGCATGTTGAATGCCCACCACGAACAAGGCATTGGAGGCAATCGTGGAGCAGCACAAAATTTCGGAGGAGGACCATTTGAAACTAAAGCTCTACTCTGGTGCAATGCAGATTCTACACCATGAGCCTCTGCAACTTCCCTCTCTTGCGTCTACCTTCAAGTCCCGCATTAGAAACTTCCTATTTTAAGACACTACCTTACCTGTGCAAAGGGCGCTACATTAATGCAAGGATTTTTTGTATTGTTTTCGGCAGCACTTTAAGTCGCTTTAAAGACACAGACTGAGAAATGCCTGCAAGGAACATGCAGAACTTACAGAGGGTGGACCCAGGGGGTTTCTAACCCATTTTCACATCATTTGAGGCTTCTTTTAAAACTAAAACGACGTGTGTGTGTGTGTGTATATATATATGCGTGTGTGTGTGAGGGAGAGAATTTGCACGCAAAGTACATGAATGATCCACACCCACAAACTGACTCGTTTTATCTTGTTATATAGACAACACAACACGCTTTCCGGGAGGTGAAGGTGAAACCTTGGCTGTACTCCAGCAGATGAAAGTCAACACTGGAGGTGTAACTTTGATGGGAAAGGTGATGGGGGTGGAGGGGGGGTTTCCAGGCAAAAACAAAGAAGATACATCATCTACACTATCATTGTGGAGTCCTGTAGCTCAGTGGTTAGAGCACTCGCTTTGCAAGTGAGAGACCTGAGTTCAATTCCAGGCAGAGGGCGAAACCTTTGGCAAGTTTCCTTACTCCACACAGAGCCTAATAATAATCCCTCCCAAACCAAAAACAATAATAAATTGGTCATTTTCAATCTACGACTGTTTGTGGGACATTGCTGTGCGCAATTGGCTGCCGCGTTCGCCCCCAAATATACAGTCAATTCACTTTACAGTGTGTTCTGTGAAGCGCTTTGGGACGTCCTCCCGACGTGAACAGCGCTATATCAAATGCAAGGATTATTATTATTATTATTATTATTCTTATTATTACACGACAACCCGAAACTCAAATGCAGACTGATAACAGCCAAGAACACTCAAGCTCAACACTCAACAACAGCCAAGAACATCGCGGCTCCATTTTGCAGTTCCTCATAAAACTGAAAGCAACATTATTTTCTTCCTTTCTTTTTTGTGTGTGTGTGTGTGTGTGAGGTTTCCAGTCAATCCGTCAGCAGCTCGAATCCCGCAAGCGACGGCTTGATGCGGTGGTCGGTCGATCACTTACTGGTGAGGAATTGGCTGAGCAGCTCAAGGAGACATCGGGTGAGTTCCCCAACGACTCGATAACTCCCAAACGCGCAGCGCTAAAGAGCCGTTCTCTCGCAGGAACCGATCCGAGAAGAGAGCCATCGCCCCAAACGCACCGAACAACAAAAGTAGCAGTGATGGTGGGGGGGGGGGGGGTTGGAGGGGTGATGGGGGGGGGGGGGGGGGTTGGGGGGGTGATGGGGGGGAGTTGGAGGGGTGATGGGGGGGGTTGGGGTGGGGGGTGATGGGGGGAGTTGGAGGGGTGATGGGGGGGGTTGGGGTGGGGGGTGATGGGGGGGAGTTGGAGGGGTGATGGGGGGGTTGGGGGGATGATGGGGGGTTGGGGGGTGATGGGGGGGGGGTTGGGGGTGATGGGGGGGGTGATGGGGGGGGGTTGGGGGGGGTGATGGGGGGGGGGGTTCGTGAAACCAAACCGATCCGAGAGTGAGCTGCCACCTTCCCGGGTCACCCGTTGCAAAAAGGGCACTACTGAACCGTCAACCCCCCCCCCCCCTCCCCTCCCCCCTCCTCTCCCCTCCCCTCCCTCCCGCAATTACACGGCGATCTTTTCCGACTCGAGCGCCAAACGCGCAACGGGAACGCACCGCCACCCGGGGCTCGGGGTCCTGCCATGACCTACCCTCGGTGGTTCGAGGTCCCGCCCCTGCAAACAGGACTCTGGAGTGGTGCTGCGCCGCCGCCGCCGTCTGGTTTGAAACGCTGTGTGTGTGTGGTGTGTGTGTGTGTGTGTCTGAGCTGAATTGTCACTCAAGCTGTGCCGGGACTGACTGACGCGTTTCAAGGCGGTTTGGCACCGGGATCCCAACCCACTCACTCACTCACTCACTCACTCACTTACCCACTCACAGTGGGGTTTCCACCACGTCATATTGGAAACCACTTGCGGGAATAACACAGCGATGAGTTTCCCCCCCACCCCCCCACCCCACACACACACAAATAACTGCAGGACATCGGCACCGAGGCACGTCTCACAAGCTCAGCCTCACCCCCCCCCCACACACACCCACACACCCTCACACACACCCTCACCCCCACCCCACACACAACACACCCCACACACCCTCACACACATCCTCACCCCCACACACCCCCACACACACACACACACCCTCACACACACACACACCCACACACACCCTCACCCCCACACACACACCCACACACACCCTCACACACATCCTCACCCCCACACACCCCCACACACACATCCTCACCCCCACACACCCCCACACACACATCCTCACCCCCACACACCCTCACACACCCACCCTCACACACACCCTCACCCCCACACACACGCACCCACACGCACACACTCGCCACGATTTGCATTACGTATTGAGGCTCCGAATTTGCCTGTGACCTGTGCACAAGGCTCTTGTTCCCGTAAATAGGACATTGCATCCAACCGCCATCAGCTTAACGGGGGACCTGACTCACTGTGTCCGGATGACATTATTGGGGTGAGATCGTCGGGTCGAGTCCAGGATGAGAATCGGATGGGTTTCGATGTGCGCGTTTTATCCGAACTCCCCAGTTTCGCGGTACTTAGTTCACTACGAGAAATCACCTTCTAAACCTGGAAAATAATTAACTGTTTTCTCATCACTACACACACACATACACTGTCACCCCCCATTCTCCTCGGGCTAAATTAGTGACCCCACCACCCACCCCCTCCCCTCAATTGTGAAAGCTTCCCTAATCGTATTCTATTCGGCTGTATGTACAGACCATGAAAACTAAATGACTAACTGAAGCTGGAACTAAAGCTGGGACGTCCTCCCGACGTGAAAGGCGCTCTATAAATAAAATCTTCTTCTTCTTGTAGAATTCAAAATCAGCACTTGCTTACAACTTGCATTTATATAGCGCCCCGACCGCAGGGGAGTGTCCCAGAGCGCTCGACAGCGGCGGAGCGTGATGCCGAGCCGGGGGGACTGTAGGCACGGTCGAAGTGGAAGGTCTTCGGGCGCGACCTGAGGATGGGGAGGGGACAAGGCAGAGGGATAGATGTCTTCCAGAGTTCTGGGGACGGGGGCAGTGGCTAAAGGCGTGGCCGCCAATGGTGGAACTGAGGGTACGAGCGACATGTAGAAGGCCAGTCAAGAGGAGGCAGTCGGTGGTGCGTAAGCAGGTCAGAGAGGTAGGGAGGTGGCAGGGCATGAAGGGATTTGAAAATGAGTGTGAGGATCTTGAAATCGATCTGTTCGCCATAGGGGAGACAGTGGAGCCCTGGCTAAAACTAGTGTGATGGGGAATGGGGAAGTAAACTTGCATAACTGGTTTACTCAGGGCGAAACCTTGGGCAAGTTTCCTTACTCCACACAGAGCCTAATAATAATCCCTCCAAAAAAACAAAAAGAATAAATTGGTCATTTTCAATCTACGACAGCAAATCTACGTTTGTGGGACATCGCTGTGCGCAATTGGCTGCCGGGTTCACCCACAAATACAGTCAATTCACATTACAGTGTGTTCTGTGAAGCGCTTTGGGACGTCCTCCCGACGTGAAAAGCGCCATATCAAATGCAAAGATTATTATTATTCTTACTCAAACTCTGTCCTCGCCAAAGTAAAATTAGAACTAGCAAGGGGCAGTTCCAGTCATTAAAAGTGCAATCTTATGAAATTGATGCATCAAAACAAATGCCACGACCGGCAAAACAGGACTCTTCAGATCTGTGCTGACACTGCAGTCAATCAACATTTTAGTGCATTCATCAGAACACAATGCATCCCTCAATTTGGAACATGCCAAATCTAACATAAGCTACTGATTCTTTACTACAATTAAGTTATCCAGTCAGCCGCATTTGCAAATGCATTTCATAGTAGTCTGATGCCTAGAACAGCTTTTGACTAATTAGTTTAGCTTTTCATGAGATTGATTCTTCATTAGATATAATGAAGTAATACTGTAACATGAACTAATTATTCAGATCATTGGAATGTCACATTGCTCAATTGCATTTTGTTAATGATGGAGGGGGAGGTAAACAAAAGCTCCACATATATTAGCCCTTGCATTTGAGATAGTGCCTTATCACATCTTAGAGACGTCTTAAAGTGCTTCACAGTACATTCTGTAAAGTGAATATTTTGTGGGCGAAACTTATATTAAAACCTGTTCAGAAATGGGTAATTATGTAGCTTTCAGGAGCGCATAATTAGGACTTACTGAATATATTCATGAATCGGTTCTGTGCACCAGTTTGTAATTACATTTCACCATAAAACCAGACTTTATAGAGATTCGACAATTTTATTTTCACTTTCAGTACATCAATGTAGAAAATCCTTATGCTACAAGAGCTGAAGCTGTGGAGGATTCGCTGAAAAAAAAGAAAAACAGAAATTAGCTCAAAAATCAAAATGCATTTCCCCTTACCAAAAAAGTCTTCTGTATAGTTAGAAACCCAGGCTGGAAGAGAAATGAAACCCAATCCCAAATGCTGGAAATCTGAAACTGAAAATACTGCTCTAATTCAAGATACAACTAAAACATTGATACAACCTCTCCTTATCAGGTGGTGGCTTGCAGTAAATCTACAGCTCAGCATTTCTAGTGTTTTTGTGGTTAGTTGGATGTGACACATGCCTATACAAACAAGCCAAATCTGTCAAGAAATCTTGTTTGCAAATTCTATCCAGTGCCCTCTGCTGGCAAGTGTATACAACTGAGAGCACCTTAATCAGTCACAATTTAAACACTCCTCAAAATAAGCGAGGTGTTGGGAGGGTTTCTGACAAATATGGTTTTGCCATTTGAACCTATGGACATGCACAAAAAACTGGGAAGATAAGTCAAAGATTCCCAAATTTGTTTGTTTGAACTAATGATAATCCTTTGATTTGATAGTGTCAAAATAACATCAAGGTTACCTCAAAGCACTTCACAAGTGCTTCTCAGAGTGTACCAATCTATATGAGCATCCATAGAATCTATTACCTTAACACACATGTAGATGTGATTTTCATGCCTTCATTACCTTCATATTGGATTTTAAAAAAATCTCATTTTTAAAAAATGTCATTTGGCTGAAATTTGCAACGCTTAACATTTTAAAATGTAACAACAACTTGCATTTATATAGCACCCTCCACACAGGGCAGCGTCTCTGAGCGCTTAACCGTGGTGGAGTCTGACTCCGAATCATTCATACCTAAATAATCTCGCAATCTATAGCTGATCTGTTAAAATATTCCCATTTATAAACACTTTTCATCCCTTTTCCATTGCTCACTCAGACATCCAAGGAAGATTCCGCCAACATAAGGGAAAGACCCTTCTGGAGTAAACTGCGAATGGTTGTGTAAAACATTCATCATTGTGAGCTGAACACAAGTTTGTCCACTATCTGTCTCAGCAAACCTCAGAAAAATGGGCAACTCCACAACAGATAGGAGAAGTTTATTTGCACAGTTGGAAACTCACAAATTTAAATACTTACTACTTCCAGTTGGGTGGAAGAACTCTCTTGGTCTTGTAATAACGAGCCAGTCTGTGAATTCTGCTCTCAATGAGAATCAGACGGAATTTTGCATCTTTATCCTGAAAAAAACCCATCAATTTCAGTGAGCGGCTGTGAAATTGTGTGGTACACGTGCCACTGTAACGATTCTCTTAATTACTGTCAGTAATACAGACAACCGTTGTCCAACCAATGTAATTTACTAAAGCTTTTAAGGCTGGACAACTGCTCACTCAGACATCCAAGGAAGATTTCGCCAACACGAGGGTAACACCCTTCTGGAGTAAACTGCGAATGGTGAATAAAACATTCATCATAGTGAGCAGAATCCAAATAAACTACATGCCTTAGTACAATGTACCCAAATAGCTACAGTACAAGAACTGGTTCAAAAATCTAATTAGCTGCTTACACAGAACTGGGAAGGATGGAAAGACAATTTAAACTGCCTCTACAATACAATTTACATTTATATGTCTGGAGGACAGCCTCAAGGCACTCGATACTGCGGGCTGGGCCGTCAGTGTCCACAGTGTAATTCAGGAGAAATCTAAAAATAACTGATATTAGAATTAAGCTCAGTGACACACATTAATGCGATTCCATTAAATGAGACGCAAAGCAATTACCTTCCTATTCCTCTCCAGATGTTTGCGGACAGCCACAGCCGTCTTAATCAAATGGTACAGATCCTCTGGAAGGTCTGGAGCCAGTCCCTTGGACTTCAGGATCCTCAGGATCTTGTTTCCAGTAACGAAACGGACCTGAGCCACACCATGGGAATCCCTAAGAATGACACCTGAAAGACAGACACAAATCTAGAGTCAACGATTCGTCACAAATTTCCGGGAGAGAAAGAGAAGATGCACAAAGTACTTCAAAGTTGCTAAAGGTATCTGTATTACATATGTTTTGTTGCAATTAAACACATAGCACAATTACATTTTCTAACCATAAAAAACATGCTGATCCAATACAAGGAATGGATGATGGTTGTGGAATGCTCACTCAAGACATCCAAGAAAGACTGAACCAACACAAGGTCAGACTCTAAACTCACTAAGTTAGATTTATACAAGTTGAGGTTCAGCCCTCCCCAGATGGATATATGAACTCCTTAGCCATGTTTAAGGACAGTGTGGCAAACCCACCAATTCACTCATGAAACTGCTTTGGATGAAAATATTGACCTATTAGACACCACAGTTGGTAGATTAAACTTTGTAACATCCTAGAAATGTCTGTTTGATTCTGGTCTAATTTGTTATCCTGAATCTAAGATGGCTTTGCTACTGGCTCATTCTGATCCTCAACTTTGAAGCATTCTATATTACAAGTACCCTGCTCACAGCCACAGTTCATAAAAGAGGACTCCTCTGCTTCTGGAGTGCTGGGGGGGGGGGGAGAAGAGAGAACAGATGGGAAGTTGCATAGGAAAATCAGCATGCTGAACTAAAAGTAAACAGAAAAACTAAACACACAAAAAAAAATTTTGTTTATTCTGAGCAACAGGCTGGAAGATGGGACTTTAAGGCATCACAACTTTCCAGTTTGAAACAAGTCACTTGTTATTGAATCTACAATTCTACTCACCAATCTGTGAAGGGGTCAGACCCTTCTTTGCCAGCTTATAAATCTGCTCCTTTACATCATCAGATGTGAGCTTGAGCCACTGCAGGGGAAAAAATACATGTATGAATTGATGTTCAATCAGACATCCAAGGAAGATTGATCCAACATGAGGAAAAAATCTTTATGGAGGAAACTGCGAATGATTGAGCAAATAGTCATCGTCGTGGGCAAAACACACGATTCATCAGGAAACAATAAATGTACTAAATTCTGAAAATCACCAGGTTAGAGTAACGCAAGTTGAATGCTCACCCCTCCCCAGATTGATGGTCAGTTATAAGGTCTAATTTATGATCCATTTGAGACTTTTATGGTTTAAAGCAATCCAAAACTGACTTTATATGGGACAAACTATTGTCCGGCCACCAACCTATCCATAAGGCGTACAAGGATCTGGCAATGCAAAGTGTCTTCTACAATTAAGTGCAAACAAACTAATCCTTTTAAATATAGTCTCATTGAATCAGGGTGCGGTATAAGTTTCCCCAATCATTATGAAGTTATTTCTACATCTACCTGAAGCAGTGATGCATTTAAAGAGAAAATTAAATGCATGCATAAGGGAGAAGACAACGGAAGCTTATTCTTATTATTAAACGGATTATAGGCAGAGACTTGTGAACTAGTTGGATCAAGTACCATGTTTCAAAGCTTTATAATCTAAAATTCTATGGTAATACTCCCAGCACAGTATTGATCTGCTGACAATTTATGATTTGTGGAAATCTTTGCACTTGTAGTTAAGACCTCAAAATCCAATTCATGTCATCTCTTCAAAGCACCTCAGAGCAGAACATTAACATGTTGTGCAAAGCCAAGTTTTGTTCTGTGCCCACGAACAGTTGTAACCTGGGCTCCAACGGGCGTGAGGCAAGAGCTCATTTCAAACTCTTCCACACGTTTTACTTTTATGGAAAGGAGAGCAGGGAGTACGATTGAGGGGCCTCTTTACTTACGGTGGGCACACTGCGCCTGTACGGTAGAGCGGACTGGGATAAGCCCTTTCTGGAAAAAAAAAAGGGGAAAAAAAACACGCCGTGAGTGAGTGAAAAGGCAAATCTAACAGCCCCCCCAACACCCAGCCCAGGTACAACAGTGACCACTCGCTGAGTAACCACCACAGACAGCACTGACCGACACTTGTAGCGGTCTGCAATTCAACTTCTTTTCTTAAAACTTTATTAAATCAAAGTCACCGAACTGACTGACTGACTGACAGCGGGAGCTGCCCCCGTCTCCCCCCCCGCCGCCGGCTCCTAAATACCCCGCCCGGGGGGTGGCGCTGCTTCGGCGGCCGGTCAACACGTGTCGAGAAGCGGTTGCATCTCCTCCTCCCCCCCACCCAACCCAACCCCCTTTCCCCAACCAACCCGACCGCTCCCGGGGTAGGTGAGCGGGAGGCTTGTCCTGCCTGTACCGGCCACACCAGGCGGCCCAGATCGGGGGGGGGGGGGGGGGTGACATTGGCAATATCTGCCCCCGGGGGTGGTGGTGCTGGTGGGGGGGGGAGGGGAGGGGAGGGGGCGGGGCGCACTCCCAGTTACCGAGGGTAAGGCGGGGGGGGTGGGGGTGGGGTCATACCGACAGCCAGAAACACGGAGGGTGGTGGGGGGGAGGGGCTCCCGAGGCTGGAGTCAGGCCTGGGCCTGGTGCTAGGCCGCGCCGCCGCCATTACCCGCCGCCACCTCAACCAAGCGAGGCAACTGCACCCAACCATCCCCCCCCCACCAGCCCCGGGAGCCTCTGAAACTCTTCCCGGTGCTGTTGCGATGCCCTCCCGCCACCTCCGAGCTGTGCCCGGCTGCCCCCCCGTTCCCACTCGGCCTCTCACCCGGGAGCGTGCATCCGACCCATGGCGGCGGCTGAGAGGAAAAGGCGGCTCGCAGCGCGCCTGCGCAGGGTCAGGGCTGGCTCCCCGCGCTGCGGTCACGTCATCGCGCACTGGAATCGGAGGAGGAGGAGTCGCGCCGTGACGTGACGCCACCGCGCGGCGGCTCGGCCTCAAGGCTGTCAGTCACAGCGACAACCCGCCCCGCTGCCGACACGTCGTCGCGCACACACGCACGCACGGGATGGAGAGGGAGCGGGGGAGGGAGGGAGGGGGAGGAGTCGCGCCGCGCGTGACGTCACCGCGCCGCTCAGCTACATGGCCACCAAGCGCAGCCGCAACCCTCGCCGGGCGCGGTGGCGCGCGCCTGTTATCCGGCTGCTCGGAGGCTGAGGCTGGTGGATCGCTTGAGGCCAGGAGTTCTGGGCTGCAGCGGCCTGTGCCGATCGGGCGTCCGCGCTAAGCTCGGCGTCTATATGGTGTCTCGGGGGGAGCCCGGGGGCACCAGGTCACGCTAAGGAGGGGTGAACCGGCCCAGGTCGGGAACGGAGCAGGTCAAAGCCTTCGCGCCGATCAGTAGCGGGATCGCGCCTGTGAATAGACGCTGCACTTCAGCCTCGTCAATACAGCGAAACACAGTCTTTTTATTTTGCCTTTTCCTTTCAAAAAATACACAATTCGCAATCGCATCGTTTTAATGGGAAACAAAGAAAAAAAGCATTTCTTGCTGTTAAATCTACAGCTCATACACCGCAGCTGTCGGTCACCCGTCTGTTGCTCTTCACCGTTTGCTTCTTCACAGGGTTTCACCTTCACCACCAACATTCATTACCTTAAACCCCAAAACACTTTCCCTTTCCCCCCCACACACACCCCCCATCCAAATCAACCCCCCAAAGGGAGACGCAGATTCCCCTCCACCGCTCTCTGCTGCTCTCCCATTGCATTGCACCCAGAAAATGCTCTCTTGGCAGCAGCTACACCCGCCGCCACCACCAGGCGGCGCTGCCCCCCCCCCCCGCAACCCCCCGCCACCACCTGGTGTCACAGCCGCAACACTCGCAACAGCGACACGTCCGCCTTTCACGGAGAACCGCAACGATTTCCGGCAAACCTGTGCCCCGTCTGACACGAGAATCGAGAGAGAGAATCGCCAATTTGCAGTGCAATACCAATGTGCACTTAAGCCGTTAGCGCCTTTTCTGGCGGGAGGGTGACCCGAGGCGCGGGACTGACCGTCCGGGTTTGGCGCCTGCGCTGGGCGTGGGAATCAGTGGATTTGGGGGTGGGGGCGGTTGGTGGGCAATGGTGACCAAAGGTCGAAGAGAAAGGTCTTGCAAATGGACCTTGAACGAGATGCCCTCCATTGTACCGTCGGTGGCAGTGCTTTCAGCCACTTATCCTCTAACCCTCTGCCTTCCCCATCTTCAGGCCGTACCTGAAAGCCTTCCTCTTCGACCGCGCCCATCGCCACCTTCCCTTCTCCCCTGACCTGGCGTCGTGCTCCGCCGCTGTCAAGCGCTCTGGGACGCTACCCTGCGTGAGGGGCGGGTCGCTGTATACATGCAAGTTGTCGTAAGGGTTTTTGTTAATAATTAGAGTTTTGGATAAATATGGACCAGGATACACAAAAGATTCGACATTTCTTTGAACGAGCAACAATAGCGCAAACCCATTACATCAAAAGACAGATCCAACGTGAATTAATAACATTCTAAAAATGGGAATAAGTCGTGAAATTGATGCGCCATCAATGTACCAAATAGAATGAGTGAAAATAACATCGAGGAAGAACCATTCAGGTACCACCTTTCGCGTCAGTAGGATGTTTCAAAGGGCTTCACAGAGTTGACTGTGAACCCAAGTGGGGGGGTGGGGGGGAGGGGGTGTGCGGGGGAGAGAGTGAGAAGGAGGTGACGGGGAGGTGGGGGATGGAGGTGACCAAAGTTTTTTAAGTTGGGTTTCAATGGTAGGGAGGGAGCAAGTGAGGGTCACAGGCCTCATGATGTACCATGTTCATGATGCAGATGGAGGTCCAGAGAGCAGGGGCAGAGTGGCTGACGGCTAAGTCTCTGATGATGAGGGGTATCAGGTGGGACATCTGAAGCAGACCAGTGTTCGCTGAGCATAGGTAGTGCAAGGGTGCAAGAGAATGCACTGTATAATGTCCTGTTGCCTTCTTTTAAATCCCAAGTCTATGCCTTTCTTTGGATAAAACTTACTGGTGAAAACCCTGTGAACTAAGTGTGAGTCCATAAGTATATGTTAAGCTATAACTTATTTTTAATAAAGACTATTCCAGGAATAAAAATTATTCAAAAAATGCAAGATTTATATTATATTCAATCCTAAATGACTTTGGTTCTGTCACTCCAAATGTGATTATAGCTGTTCACAAGCTGAACACCATCAATGTTCTGGAACGCAGATTCACCAGAATGATACCAGGGCTTAAAGGGTTAAATTATGATGACAGATAAACTTGGACTGTATTCCCTTGAGTTTAGAAGGTTGAGGGGTAATCTAATTTTTTTTAAATAATAAAGGGATTTGAATAGGGTAACCACAGAGAAACTATTTCCTCTGGTGGGGCAATCCAGAACTAGGGGGCATAATCTTAAAATTAGACTTAAGACATTTAGGAGTGAAATGAAGAAGCAGTTTTTCACGCAAAAGGGCAGTGTAAATCTGGAACTCTCTCACCCTAAAGGCTGTGGATGGATCCATTCAAATTTTCAAGACCAAAGTGGTTAGATTTTGGTTAGCAAAGAATAGCAAGGAATATGGGGCAAAGGCAGGTAATTGGAGTTGAGGTACACATCAGCCATGATCTAATAGAATGCAATACAGCGTACAGTGGAGATAGGATTTCCTTCATTGTATATACAACAAAAAACAACACAATTACATTTGTATAGTGCCTTTCACGTCGGGAGGACATCCCAAGGTGCTGGACAGAAAGAATTTCAAACCTGAGCTGTGGGTTGGGGTCAGGGAGAATGGAGGGTGGGGGGGGGGGGGAAGGGAGATTGAAAGCATGGTCGAAGAGGAGGGTCTTGTGATGGGTCTTGAAGGTGGCAAGGGTGGGGGCGAGGTGGAGGGACTGCGGGTTGGAGTTCCAGAGGGTGGGGGCAGAGTGGCAAGAGGTCCGCCAATAGTGGGGCGAGTGAGGTGGTGGACGTGAAGCAAGCCGGAACCCGCTGAGTGGTGGGAGCGAGCAGTATGGTAGGGGTTAGGAGGTCCCCCGAGGTAGGGGGAGCAAGACTGTGGAGGACTTTGAAGGTGAGGACCAGTACCTTGAACTGTAACCTCTTATGATGGGAATCTGGTGGAGTTGGGCAAGGATGGGGCTGATAGGGTCGCAGAGGACACAAGGTGCAGAGTTCTAGATGATCTGCAGCCTGTGGAGCGAGGAGTTGGGGAGGCCAACAGGCAATTAATTTGCATAGTCGAGCCTCAATGTAATGAAAGCATGTATGAGGGTTTCGACGGCCTGCGGTGTGTGACAGTGGTGGAGCTGGGCGACGTTGTGGAGGTGGGGGAAGACAGAACGTGTCATAGCGCTGATGTGGGGTAGAAATGATAGTTGAGGGTCAAACAAGACCCCAAGGTTCCAGACTGGCTTAGCAAGGTGGAGTGTGCAACCACGGATGGTGATTCTGTCAGCGCCTGAGGTGAGGAGGTGCTGACAGAAGCCAATCACGACAGCCTCGGACTTGTTGACATTCAACTGAAGAAAGTTAGCTCTCATCCAGAACTTGATGTCTGACAGACATTCAGTCTGGACAGCAGTGGTCCTGGAGACAAGAGTGGAGGCAGAGAGGTAGAGTTGGGTGTCATCCACATACATATGGAAGTTGACCGCATGTCTGTCGATAATGTTACCAAGAGGTATCATGGTGAAGCTAATCGTCTCAAAGTGCATGTCTTGTCATAACCGTTAGCTTCTTCTGTGTTCAGTTACCTACTACTGAGATATAACAGTAACATTGATAGGCAGACAAAAAAAACATTGTCTGCCCACCTCCTTCGCTCAGCTAATACAACAACTTGGACTTATATAGTGCACCCCCCCCAAGGCAGGTAGTGTCTCAGAGCGCTTAACACTGGCGGAGCCTGACTCTGAGCCGGGGGGGGGGGGGTGCGGAGAGGGGGGGAGGTAGCCTTAAGCATGATCGAACAGGAAGGTTTTCAGGCGGGACTTGAAAAAGAGAAGGGGGCGAGGCGGAGGGATTGAGGGGGAGTGTTCCAGAGTATCTCCTGAACCCCTCCGCACCACCAGCAGCGGCCGTACCTTCAGCCACCACACCCCAAACCTCTGGCAACCTCGACCTCGCCACCTTGTCCTCTTTTTACGCACAGAGTACCGTTACGCAAATACTACGCAAAAGCCGTACGCAGATACAAGCGGTTGTGGTTGTTTCCAACTTCTCGACTGCCTTCGGCGGTGACCCACCCACGGGTCCGGTGCGTTTTGACGCGGTGGGCGTCAAGATGGCCAATAGTCCTCCGTGACCACAAGTGCAGCCTCCGCGGTCCGCGCCCAACACCTGGAGCTGCACATTGCCCAGTGGTTGGCAGGACACGCCCAGCGTCGTCACCCACCGCACCTGTCCGACGTCAACCAGCACGTCAAAGGGGGGGCCGGGGGCAAATCGGTCGCGCCGTGACGTCAGCGCGCGGCTCAGCCTCCAGGCTGTCAGTCACAGCGACAACCCGCCCCGCTGCCGTTACGTCATCGCGCACGCACGCACGCACGGAATGGATGGATGGATGGAGAGGGAAGGAGGGGGAGGAGTCGCGTCGCGCGTGACGTCGCCGCGCCGGTCAGCTACAAAGCTGTCAGTCACAGCGACAACCCGCCCCGCTGCTGATACGTCATCGCGCACGCACGCACGCACGGGATGGAAAGGGAAAGAGGGGGAGGGAGGGAGGAGTCACGCCGCGCGTGACGTCACCGCGCCGCTCAGCTACATGGCCACCAAGCGCAGCCACAACCCTCGCCGGGCGCGGTGGCGCGCGCCTGTTATCCGGCTGCTCGGAGGCTGAGGCTGGTGGATCGCTTGAGGCCAGGAGTTCTGGGCTGCAGCGGCCTGTGCCGATCGGGCGTCCGCGCTAAGCTCGGCGTCTATATGGTGTCTCGGGGGGAGCCCGGGGGCACCAGGTCACGCTAAGGAGGGGTGAACCGGCCCAGGTCGGGAACGGAGCAGGTCAAAGCCTTCGCGCCGATCAGTAGCGGGATCGCGCCTGTGAATAGACGCTGCACTTCAGCCTCGTCAATACAGCGAAACACAGTCTTTTTATTTTCCTTTTCCTTTCAAAAAATACACAATTCGCAATCGCATCGTTTTAATGGGAAACAAAGAAAAAAAGCATTTCTTGGCTTTGACGCCCAAATACTACATCAACGCATCACGTTCCGCACATTCTTCACTTCACTTCACTTCGGACACAAAAAACTTTTTTACACCACATTTCTTTACACTCTCATTGACTTTCAGACACAATAATTGCGTAGACAATCAGAATAGGAATAAGGAGAAAAGTTACCTTTAATATGTTAATTTATTGCATTTCGTATATTATAATGCGGTTAATATATCAACACAATGTAACTCATAATTATTGGTACAATAGTCATAAATGTGCTTGCATAAGACCTAGGTACCGGACAATAAGAGGCCCCTACGTCAGTGAAGCTGCATGTAGACCAGCCGGGTCT